CCACTACCATCATCATCAGTACCATTGCAACACCACTACCATCATCATCAGTACCATTGCAACACCACTACCATCATCATCAGTACCATTGTAACACCACTACCATCATCATCAGTACCATTGCAACACCACTACCATCATCATCAGTACCATTGCAACACCACTACCATCATCATCAGTACCATTGCAACACCACTACCATCATCATCAGTACCATTGCAACACCACTACCATCATCATCAGTACCATTGCAACACCACTACCATCATCATCAGTACCATTGTAAAACCACTACCATCATCATCAGTACCATTGCAACACCACTACCATCATCATCAGTACCATTGCAACACCACTACCATCATCATCAGTACCATTGCAACACCACTACCATCATCATCAGTACCATTGTAAAACCACTACCATCATCATCAGTACCATTGCAACACCACTACCATCATCATCAGTACCATTGTAAAACCACTACCATCATCATCACCATATCAACATTACTACCATCTAATCCATCATGACTATAATTATGTAGCAGATACAATATATCTCATGCACACTCTACCTTAACTATAAAAGTGAGAGTAGTAAGAATCGAACATCGTAGCATATTGTGTTCTTCGGATTCAATCCATAGTTTGGGAAGATACCCAGCTAATGATGCGACGTATGGCCTGATCTAAAAGTCATTGAAACATAAAATATTTAAACTTCATTGATACGAATAACTCTGTCAGTTCTAAAGTGTTCTCCATACAGGTCTAGTATACGAGCCATCTTTTATTGATCCATTGACAGGAGGAAACCTAAACTAACTTTATTTATACTGGATTCTTCCTAGAAGTCCAGTAAAGATCATCTCTTATTGATCCAGTGTTACTACAGGAGGAAACCTAAACTAAACTAACTTTATTTATTTATACTAGATTGCTCTATCAGTTCTAAACTGTTCTTCCTAGAGGTCCTGTAAAGATCATCTCTTATTGATCCAGTGTTACTACAGGGGGAAACTGTTGCGACCGAAGAAAACCTGTGGTATTTGGTAGAGTCATACTGACATTCTTTCACACATGACCGAGGTAAAATTATAATCAGACAATGCAGAAAGGTACATGTACTGTCACTGTGCTACCAACAGACGATTTGTAATTCCAGGAATTTTTTATAATGTTCTAGACTAGTAGTTAACACAAAGTTAAAAAAAAAGTAGCCACACAAAAAAGTTAGGCTTCACCTTTGGCCCAACTCGTTCAATAACCATCGACATAACGAATAAAATGTGCATCTATAGAGAAGGGCGATGGTTAGTAATTTGCAAAACACATTATATGTCTAACACGCCCATCATGAACTAGGTCCAGCGCACCGTATTGGAACCATACCTTTGTGTCACATTCTTTGGCATCGCACAGAAGTTTAAACAGAAGAGAAACACTTGCTTCTAAATACTGAAACACAAAATATTACCGAGATTGAATTTAAATGACGATAACTGACGATAATTCCGTCTATAATTATACCTATATATGCAATGTTTACTATTACAACTGGAAAAAAATTGAAAATCCATAGAAAGCCATAGAATGGAAATTGTGTGGACCTTCATTGGAAATAGAATGGATTTTGGTTATCCATAATAATTGTATATTTCCATAGTATGGATATACAGTAGTATCGAAATAGTATGGATATACTATGGATTTAGTGGTGCAATTGTAAATTTCATAGTATGGATTTCACATTTTTTCCCGGTGATTCATTAAGTCATTTCATAAATAACATCACATTAACAATGGATTGAAACTTTTTCGTGCATATGAAAAACGCCTAAATGGAATGCTGCCCTTACCGGCAAAAATTCCTCAGTTCTAAATTCAAAATCATCCACAGCTAAATCTCTTGTCAAGAAAAAAATAACAACAACAACAACAACAACAACAAAATATTTACTTGCACTGATGAAGCTGCAAGCTTCCGGGTCGAAAGCTTTGCTTATTTTAGAGTGCTCTTTATGAAAAGGATACCAGATTGCAACGTTTTAGATGCATTAAGCCTAACCTAAATGAAAAAAGAAATTAAAACAAATTTTATCTTGTTTATTCCACACAAATGTTACAAAATTTACATCGAGTCAATCGCCCGTATTCTAAAAGCTCACTCACACTCAATGAGTGGAGGTTCCATCTGAGCTTCTCTAGAGTGTCAATGCTGTTTTCAGTTGAATAGCTGGAGGGCTAGTATCATACCTTACTCGGTAACTACTCACCCTTCGGCTATTCAAAAACAGCATTGACACTCAAGAGAAGCTCAGATTGAACCTCCACTCATTGAGTGTGAGCTTTTAGAATACAGGCGATAGTATTTATTGGTAACGATACTGACCACCAAATCCTCCGACTCGTTCATGAGATTGATGATAATTTCATACAACGTTGGACGATATGGAGGAGATAGCTTCACATTTATCCACCTTCCTATAAGCCAGATCACTCGACGACGAATAATCCTGTAGCTAGGAATTGAAAAAAAACACACATTTAAGAGACTTCGTTTCCGAAAATGACTTCTTAGAGAGTATAAAGACCCCCTCAGTAAAGACTAATATATAGTGTTTACAAAATATATAGCAAAATATAAACAATTACTTGGGTGATTTATTCTGCAGTTCTTTTACCAAGCCTTGCGAGAACCATTCTTCAAAGTTTATCTCGTCGAACAGATCATACGAGCATAACCCAGCAACATTATAAACTGGAAAAGTTAACAGAAGAGAACAAATAATTAATAACTACTGGAAATTGACAAAAAAACTTGCACAGAAAACTCTCCCAAACCTGCTTCCTTCTGCACCAAAATTCCAAAATCTTCACTTGCTGGTAAATCTGTGTACAGAAAAAAATATAATTAATGAACAAGTTTATTTTATAAAATTGCCATATATAACTCACAATAAATGAGAAAACCCCGCACACAACAGCGAATTAAGTAATGCATCATGCAAAATTATACAATGAGCTAATTACGTATTCAATTTGCTCTGCCAGGAAAGCTGGACAACGTTTTGCTACTTTCTCATTCAATTTACATTCAAATTTCACCAAAATTTAATCAATTTCTCCTTGGGTAATGTGAATTAGTCCCATACATTTTCGCATTAATGTGTTTTATAGTTTTTTAGCTATGATGCTGAAAGACAAAATAGTTTATTGTGTATTGGTCTTGCCTTTTTGTATATTGTAAATTTTATATTATTAAAGACAACACTCAGGGTTCGTACATGGAAGGAAGAGTCAAATTCAAGGACTTTTCAAGGACATTCAAGGCCATGTATCAGCAAATTCAAGGACTAAATACTGGCGTTAGAAATCAGCAAAATCTGACGTTGAATTGTTCAAAACGTAACTTTATAATGAGGTCAGATATGAACATGCAAAATCAGTTCAACAAAATGTCCGTCTTGAATGTCAAACAATTTCAGAAAATATCCAAAAACTAAAGCAAGAAAAATTTAAGGACTTTCAAAGTACTTCTTTACAAATTCAAGGACATTCAAGGCCTTGAATTTTTGTTTTCAAATTCAAGGACATTCAAGGACTTTCAAGTTTTGTACGAACCCTGGACAAGTGCCTAATAAATTTTGAGAATTTTACTTACTTTGTACGGAAGTTATGATGTTAACAATGACTGGAGTCACCAGAGGGCGAAACTCTTTGAATAATGAAAGTAAAAGCTTCTCCGTACTTGGCTGAAATATAAAATAATTTTACGTTTACCATATTGATCAAAAGTTTAAAATTGTGGATATCGTCGTATTTAAACAAAATTAATTTCATACCCTTAACTGGTAACGCCAAGATTCGCCGATTTCTTCGTTGTCTGTGAAGATATCATACAAAAATCACATGTGATGCATATATAGAAGGCCAAGTAATAAGACAGGGCCTTTTTTAAGAATTCACCAGTTGGGAGGGGGCATCAACAGAAAAAGGTGCATCAACCTTACTGAGTGTGGAGACTAGAAATGGTTATTGGTGACAAAAAGTTAGGTGTGGTGTCGTATCCCCCTCCCAGAAAATGTTCGTATTTTTCCACCCCTAGGGGGAGGGGTGTGACTGTGGGGCCACCATGGGGGCTGGGGGCTTTGGCTGCCCCAGTTATACAGTTAAAAAAGGCCCTGTAATTTCCAATCTCATAATTTTTGGTTAAGCTATAGGATCTCAAAAAATTACGAAATCTAAAACTTACCAAATTCTTCTGGATCTGAATCCCAAAGTTCCAAATCCTACAATATTAGTAATACGAAGTTCGTTCAAAAAATTAAAACAAAATATTAAATTTATTTGTGATACAAACTGGAACGATCAGTAAAGATCGGCTGCTCATGTTTTAACTAGTACTTGTGAATATATCTGATACAGAATCATGCTGATTTACATAAACTTTAAGTTCAATTTTCTCACCAAATATCATTAATTTATTTTAAATTGTTGAAGAATACGAATGTTCTCATCGAGACGTTTCACAA